GGGTATATATATTAAGAGAGAGAGATGTAATGGGTGGCTAAGGAGGAAAGTTTAGAGCAGATGGGATCAAAAGAGACTACTATTAAAGAAGAAGAAGATCATGATGAATGAAGATGGAGAGAGAGAGAGAGAGAGAGAGAGAGAGACGGGGGTTGAGGCACCCCTGTTCTCAATCAATTGCAAAAATTATTCCTTCATTTAGATGTGGAGAAAATTATTAAAAGTAGGTGGAAAATGATTTGTGTTTTGCTTTGTTTTCCTTTTTTTTCTTGTTTTTGTGTTTGGATTTTTGGGCCCGTGATTGACATATTCCTAAAAGGAAAGTGAGCCAAATAAAATAACATTACATAAATTTTTACGTTACTTGACAAGTGTAGATATAGAATTATACGTTATTTTCGATGTATTTTAAAAAAAATTATTAATAATAATAATATAGGTATATAAGTTTATAATTTTTATTGAGTGGTTCTATATTTCTTAATATATCATCTTTTATTTTGATCCCTAACGAGATGGAATAAAATAAGAATAGAAAAAGGAAGGATGAATAGTGAAGAGTGAGATTTATTCCATATTACAATAAGTGAATTAGGGATGTTAAATTACAATTTCTAAGCATTTTTCTTTCCTTTTTTTTTTTTACCTCAACTCTTGTAACATTTATTATACTTTTTTTTTTTTTGTTAGAAGGTGAAAATTCATTAAATTACACTAAAAATTCCTATAGCTTTGTGATTTGTATCACTTTAATTTATGACTTTTTAATTGTGACATATTTGACCTTGAATTTTAAATTTTGTTTTAAATAAAGACAATTGAAGATATCATTATTCAATTTTAAGGGTAAAATCGTTAATTTGATAAAATCTAAACTAATTTGACAAAAATAAATGTCAAAAAAATATTTTTGAATTTTTAAAAATAATTTCTACACACCAAAGATAAAATTATGTGAAATATAAAAAACTTTTAGATTTTTTTTGCCAAATTAATTTTTATTATGTGTTTGGATGATAATCATGCAATGGGTGGTCGTCACGCTTTTAATGTGTAATCGATATATTTTAATATATGAAATGTTTTTAGTTTTGAATTTTTTGATTTAATAGATTATTTAATAATGATATCAAAATTGTCTCTAACTTTTAAAAAAATAAAAACTAATTTAATGAAAATAAAAATAACAACTCATTACATGATTATCATCCAAACATATAATAAAAATTAATTTGGTAAAAATAAATAAATAAATGTCTAAAAAATTTATCAATTTTACATAATTTTATCTTTAGTGGGTAAAAATAATTTTAAAATATTTTAAAATATTTTTTTGACATTTATTTTTGTCAAATTAGTTTATATTTTATCAAATTGATGACTTTATCTTTAAAATTGAGTAATGATATCTTTAATTGTCCTTATTTGAAACAAAATTCAAAATTTATAGTCAAATGTATCACAATTATAAAGTCAGGCATCAAAATGATACAAGACTCAAACTATAAGGACCGTTAATATAATTGGCCCAATATAATTTTTAGATTCATAGAACATTTATTTTATGATATTGAAGTGGAAACACTTTGAGCATGTATCTGCCATGTGGACCTTGTGATTTATTGTGGTGGTGTTAATATTAGTTGTGACATTATTTTTGTTATAATTTAAGAGCTCTTTGATTATATCTTATATGGTATTTATAGGATTGATTTATAATATTGTGGTAATCAAATTTGTAAATGTTATAACTTGTATATGATATCATAGTATTATCCTATTAAAATATGTTAATCCTATGGTTTGATTTTGATAACATCTAAAATATTATGAGATAAATTATAATTTTTTAATATACAATTTTTACAATCATTCGACACAAAATATGAAAATAAAATTTGTCATTTTGATATAGATTGTACCGATTTAAAAATAATTAAATTTATTATACATCTTTTGAATACTTTATTTAATATATATATATATATATATAAAACAATTCAAATAATTTCTTATTCATTTTCTTTGATTGATTTGAAGTGTTTCTTGCTAAGAATAATGTAAGTCGAAAAGGTTGATGAATTCAAATGGAAGAAAAATAGATAAAAAGAAGAGCCTACTTAGAATCTCTTTGCAACAGTTAGAATCTCTTTGCAACAGTTAGTTTTTTCTATGACTATAAAAGAAGTTTTGTGAAAAAATAAAAGAAAAGACATAGAAGTGGCAAAAAACTGTGGGTGATATTCAAGAATTTTTAAAAGAATTGTGTGTTTGTTTTCATTAAGTTATATATTTATTTTAGGGAAATTTGTTGAGTGTTTGATCTCTTATTGTAAAAGGGTTTTTAATCCCTTATCATTTCTCTTGTAAAAGAGAGTTAAATTTTTGTAAGTGATTTTTTTAAATAAAATCATTTGGATTATGTGTAATTAGCATTGAATTCATAACTAGTTAGGTAGAGTGATCGGAATTGATCAATTATTAAAGTTTACTAACACCTGTAAAGTTAGGAGTGTGATTTTTATTTGACGAATAGTGAAGAAATTTCAAAAAGAATTTTGAAGAGTGGAGGTAGGCTTGATTTGAGCTGAATCACTATAAATTCTGTATTTACTCTCTCTTCCCTTCCTTTGCTTAATTTATTTTTATTAGTCTCATTTATATTGCTTTCTCTTCTAGTATTTATCAAATATTTTCAGAACTATGGTGAGATCAAATCCACCCAATAATCAAATAGATAACACTAATCATATACATAGAGAGATATGTCTTTGTGTATATATATATATTGAGAGAGAGAGAGAGAGAGAGAGAGAGATGTAATGGGGTTAAGGGGGAAAGTTTGAAGCAGGTGGGAGGAAGAAAGAAAGAAGAGGGTTGGGTCAAAAGAGACTGCTACTATTAGGCCATATTTGTTTGGGTGGACATGAGCTTGGGATTGGACTAATAGTCCAATAAAATTATTAATCCGATGTTTGGTTAAACAATTGAAGTACGGATTAATTATTTTAAACTTAACTTTTAGTTAAGATAGGATACATAATCCAACGGATTCGTAATCCTAGGATTATTAGTCATGGGAATGCTAATCCAATCCGCCCAAACAAACATGACCTTAAAGAAGAAGATCATGAGAGAAAGAGAGAGGGGGTTTGAGGCACCTCTGTTCTCAATCGCAAAAATTATTCCTTTCATTTGGATACGGAGAAAATTACTAAAAGAAGATGGAAAATGATTTGGTTTGATCTTTGTTTTCTGTTTTGTGTTTTTTCTTTTCTTTTCTTTTTTTTTCCTTCTTGTTTTTGTGTTTGGATTTTTGGGCGCGTGATTGACCTATTCCTAAAAGGAAAGTGAGCCAAATAACATAACATTATATAAATTTTTAGGTTACTTGCAACTTACAAGTATATAGGTATCAAAATTTATATATTTTTTTAATGGTGTTACATTTTTAATATATCATCTCTATTTTGACTTTTAATGGGGGTGGATGGGAGAAAAAAGAGAGAGAGAGAAAGGATAAATAATGAAGAGTGGGGTCCATTTTATATTATTAGAAGTGAATTAGGATGCTTAATTATAATTTCTAAGTATTTTTCTTTTTTTCTTTTTTTTCTTTTTTTCATCAACTCTCGTAACATTTATTATAATTTTTTTTTTTGTTAGAAGGTGAACATTTATTGTATGATATTGAAGTGGGAACACTTTGGAGGTGTATATATATGTGTAGCTTATGATTTATTGTAGTGTTAATATTAATTGTAACATTATTTTTGTTATAATTTAAGAGTTTTTTTTTTATAATTTCTTATGTGCTGTTTGGTTATAATTTTTTTTTGACCCTCGTAGGATTGATTTATAATGTTTGTAATAATCAAATTTACAAATGTTATAACTTGCATATGATACCACTTCCCCTTTTGGGAAAAAAAAAAAAAAAAAGGAAAAAGAAAGAAAAAAAGAAAACAGTTTCTAAAAATGGAAATTAGGGGCATTAGGGGCAAATTTTTTAGGGCCACCAATCATTTTCCTATTGTATGATATTGAAGTGGGAACACTTTGGAGGTGTATATATCATGTGTAGCTTATGATTTATTGTAATGTTAATATTAGTTGTAACATTATTTTTGTTATAATTTAAGAGTTTTTTTTTATAATTTCTTATGTGCTGTTTGGTTATAATTTTTTTTTTACCCTCATAGGATTGATTTATAATGTTTGTAATAATCAAATTTACAAATGTTATAACTTGCATATGATACCATAATATTATCCTATTGAAATAGATCATGCTTATAATTTTAAATTTTATAATTGCATGGCACGTAATTAGTAAAATTTATTAATATAAAATATATATATATATATATATATGTTTTAATTTATCAAAAGATACGGCACATTTGTACTTATTAGGATAAATTATAAATATATCTTTTGAAATTTATTTAAAATATGAATTGCTTCATATGACTTGAAAAATTATAAATATTCCACTATCATAATTTGTTATTTAATAGAATTAACTTTTAAAAAAATGAATTTCTAACTGCTCTTTTATACAAAGATAAATTTACCTAAATTATTAATTAAAATAATTTTTAGCATCATTAACAACTATTAATTGACTTAATTTATTCATAAAAGAGGTCATTTGTTGTGAAATTAGAAATTTCAAGTGGTGGAATATAATTTTCACAACTATAGGTGACAAATCATATTTTAAGCAAATTTCAAGGGGTATATTTGTAATTTACCCTAATTATTAATATAATGTGTCTACCCTACTAAATATGTTATGAAAATATAATATAATATTACAATCAAATAACGTATAGTAATCCTCGGTTATTAAAAATGAGAAATAGTCAACAATATATCTATAAATACAAACTAAATACATTAAAATATGAGTGTTTGTATTAGCACCTGTCAAAATTCTTTGGACCACCCATTTTATATTTTTTTTATTACAATTATACCTTAAAGTAAAATTACAT